ATTTTCACGAGCCGGGACGGCGAGTGAAAATATGTGGCATTTTAAATATCATGTTGAGTTGAATACGAGTTGAATAAAATTATATTATGCGAGCCTCTGGCGAGCATAATATAATTTTATTCAACGAGTGCAATAAATTCAGTAATGAACTTACACGAATTTAATATTCTATTTATCACATACCCAAAATAAAGACCTTTTAAAGTGAAATAAGAGTCATTTTTCATTGACGCGCCTACAGTATAACGCTAACATTTAGCGAGTCTTTACACTTTGTTTGTATAACGCTTATGACGTCACGTCAAAATATATGCACGGCCGTGCAATACCATATTTACGGAGTCGCAAAATCGGCACGGGTGTGTGATAAAGCACCATATTTCATGGGTAAAATTAAATAATTGTATGTATCTAAACAAGGTCTGCTACGTTATTGCTAACGTATACTATTAATGCCATTTGTACATGATGGCAATAAAATCGAACTCACAAAATTGTACAAATTATTAGTTTTCAATAATACTACAGTATAGGTCACATTTAAACTATTCATAACCCTCTCCATCGTGACGTCATCAAGTCATGACGTCACAAATGTTTATGTTGATAAATAATTATACCTTAATTTGTGTTATTTATTACATATTGTTTGCTTAATATATATTTTTCCTCCAATCTTTTGTTTGTTTTATTCAGTTTAGGTAAGAGATACATACAGTAGAGGATATTTGTTTAGTTCAGTGTAAGATCGGAATTTATTATATACTTAGAAATGAAATATTGAGAAATATTGATGAAATAAAATGCATATTTTCATTTTCCGTATTTTCACTGTAAAAATTTATTTTTCACTGCAGTGAAACATATTTTCCGTATTTTCACTGGTGTCTTGCCGGACTACTTTCTTTTAAATTCTGCCAGTACACAAAATTTAGGGGAAAGTCTTTCAAATTTTAATGTCAAATGTAAATGTAAATGAAAATGTATATAATAAACAGAAAATTAAAGTTTTTTCTATTAATACATGATTTATTTTCATCTTGTGGCATGAAAATTACCACATTTCACTCGTGGCTACCGCCACTCATGAAATATTTATTTTCATAGCACTCGATGAAAATAAATCATGTATTTATAGACAAAACTTGAATATCCTCTATATATTTCACCGAGTGAGCACCAGAATGTATATTTCACGAGTGGCGCAGCCACGATTGAAATTTGAACTTTTGGTGTTCACAAGGTGAAATATATTTCGATCTTACACTAAACTAAACAAATTTTCTTTTTATTATATGCAAAGTAACGTTTTAAAAAGACATTAAACCTAATACTTAATGAAAAGCGCGCTAAATAATTATACAACGTGACGTCATTTACGACGTCACGTCATTAAGTTGGTACCATGCAGACATTTTCACAAAAAATCTTACGATTTATCTTAAGTTTTTCACTTACGATAATCGTAAGTTAAATCTTAAGTCATTTTCACAAAGCCACTCGTAAGTTAAAATTTTATCTTAAGATAAAAAATTCACTTACGATAAATCTTACGACAAAAACATCCCTAGCAACGTTCATTTGATAGTGATGTGCATGCTCTATATTTGATTCCGGTTTTAAAATCAAGTAATCAAGAGCTTGAAGTATCTATTGAACACAATCAAATTTCAATAAGAACAAAAAAATGATTCAAACTGATATAATTTATATCTTGATTGAAGATAATTATATAAATCTAAAAGATTCAGAAAGAAGGTCTACTATGTTATTAATAAATAAAAAGGTACCACTAGTACATGCTGGCAATGAAATCGAACTCACCAATTGTACAAATTATATAGAGGATATTTGTTTGTTTCAGTGTAAGATCGAAAAATATTTCACCGAGTGAACACCAGATGCAATATTTTCCACGAGTGGCGTAGCCACGAGTGAAAATATAATAGCTGGGGTTCACGAGTGAAATATTATTTGATCTTACATGTAAAACAAACAAATTTTCTGTTTATTTCATGATTTTTTAACGATTTTTACACCATTTTACTGATTTTTGCCGCGTCACGTCATGCTCTTATCTTCATGACGTCATCAAATAATGACGTCACAATGTTGAAGCAAAATATAATTCCATGATTATTTTTAGATTTTAGATGTTTTTCAGCACAACGTTCGTAAATATTTACGAACTACAGTTATCACGTACATTTTTTATTATGATTGACTACATTTCCGCTGAAAAAAACATTCATTAATGATAAATATTTTATTTTTACGCCAAATATAGTTCGGCTACTGTGAAATTATATTTGGTAATCATTACTGTGAAATTATCAGAATATAATTAACCGTTATAATTCAGTAATCTACTGCAAAACATGTAATAAAAGTTTTCAATAATACTAGTCTACAGTATAGTTCACATTATTTTAAACTATTCATAACCCTCTCCGTCGTGACGTCATCAAATAGATAAAATACAGAATCCCTAAAGAAAGCCCAACACGGCAAAATTGAAAATGTTGCAGGCTCGGTGTGATTGAGCCTATTCATGGACAGTACTGTCAAGTGCAAAATTACCGTCCACGCCCCTAGCAGCAACTGAAGCAGAATTCAACATTTAACCACGAAAATGGTGAAATTTTGAATTTAGAAACATCTGCAGATGTGTTCATACGGCGGTTATCATGGAACGTTCAATGTGACACAGTAGTGTCATTCTATGAAAAGTGGCGTATGGTCCCCAAGTAAAAGAATGCGTGTGAAGTCATGACGTCACAAATGTATATGTCGAAAAATAATTATACCTCAATTTGTGTTATTTATAGCATACTGTTTGCTTAATATTTAGTTGTCCTCCAACTTTTTGTTTGTTTTTATTCAGTTTAGGTAAGAGGTACACGATATTTTACCCTTAAGAGAGAAAAAAAAAAACACTTACGAACGGGGAAGACCTATCGTAAAGTTACGACAGATTTTGCACTTAAGATTTTCTTAAGATTTTTTGTGAAAAGGAGATTTATCGTAAGATTTCTCTTACGACAAAAAATTAACGTAAGATTTTTTGTGAAAATGTCTGCAGTATTGTGCACGCTGATATTTCATTGAAACAACGTAAGGGGCTTAAATTCAAAACAGTGAAATTATCAAAGTGGTAATTTCACTGTTTCAAACAGTGAAATTACCAGTTCTATATCACTGATTTATTTCTATAAACCACCGAAAAGCATGTAATAAATGATATTTAAGAGAGAAAAAATTACACTTACGAACGGGGAACACCTATCGTAAAGTTACGACAGATTTTGCACTTAAGATTTTCTTAAGATTTTTTTGTGAAAAATTGTCGTAAGATTTTTTGTGAAAATGTCTGCTGCATCATAAGTAACCCAAAATGATAGTAAACATCGTAATTCACTATATAGTCGGCCTATTTGACTGTATACTTTTATGATATGTATATGCATTGTATTTCGTTTTAAAATCGCAACAAGTTAAACAATCAAATAAATAAGTATATTATTTATATCACGCCTTATAAAATATGACCGATGAACTTTCAGCATTTGAACCACGTGATGTTCTAATAAAAATCAATATCGGATCTTATCTTATCACTTTAACCGCGTTCCCAATTTCAGAGTCCAAAAACTTCATCAAATCCATATTGTATCCCATACAGCATCGTTTTCATTTCAATGTCTTAAATATCTATATCAAATGCAAACTTTAATTTGTCTAGCCTTATTTTTACGTTTTGGGTCAACAATTAACTAATACCTTATTACATTTTAAGTAACAAAATTCAATAAAAAATATAAATGAAGAGCTCAATATACATTATTGAGAACAACACTTATTTTATTGGACTCGTACACAGCTACAAAAGCAATATCATACACGGCTAGCTCCTCGTCCAATATAGATCTGACAGCCGTGTACACGTCCGATAGAATTCAGTATTGTACACAACAGTGTGTAATATCGGGCATTGACATAAATATAAGATAGTTATGATTATAAGTATTATGCTAAAGGACAAGACATTTCGGTAAACAGCCATAATTATATACGTTTCTTGTCATGTGTATTCTTTAAAGGCTTCTTCTAATTATATATATTAAGCTTCACAGAAACGCAGTTGACAGTGCTTAGATGTTGCTCAATTGTCTATCTATACATTAAGTAAAATACAAATGAGCACAATAAGAAGGACATCTGAACATATTCACGGTGCCTTTACCAAGTGACTTTTTGTGGTTAGCATAATACAAATAACGAGCAAAATTTTATTTCATTTTTGAATATTTCATTTTATTTATAGAATGAAATGTAGAGCACGCTTATTCTAGTGATCAACACATTCATTGAATATTTTTTTAGAAAGTTATCATGGCCAAATATTCTGGACCGGTTTTTGTATTGGTTTTTGCCTCTTGCAGATCACAAAATGTCACGTGGTACAGACACCATGATATTGAAAACATCCAATTATACAATCTGTATGGAAAGCCATTCTGCCATGCGAATTGCTATTTGCGAATTGCTATTTGCGAAATGACAAATGCGAAATGATATTTGCTAATGATAAATGCAAAACGCTTATTGGCGCAATGTTATTTCAGATCAATTTCCACCATTAATTCAGATCGCTGTCTTCCAGGAAGGTAGGTAGTAAACAGATATTTGCGAAGTAAAAACAAGATAAACAGTAATAAAGAATATTTTTCAAATGTTTGGGTTTTTAAGCTTCAATTAAGGCGTGTTGAAGGATAAGATCTACGATCATAGTATCCTCAAAGTACTTAATGCCGGGGGTAATTTGTACCAGGAATGATCAGATATTACAAATAATATTTACATAAGAAATTTCTTTTGTATGCAGTGTTTTTCCTATTAAATTTATACAAAATATGGCATATTTTGAGGAAAATTAAAGTTTTATTTACCATATTCACATAAATGTAACCAGTGGTTTTGCTAACGATTTGGACCAAACCATTTTATAGGTAGTGCTCCTACTTTAGAAGAACTTAAATGGAAACTCCTGTCCTTGAAAGCATCAAGAAAGATGCCAACAAGTTCTCTATTTGTTGCAACAAAACAGAAAATAAAGGTATGATTTTTAGCTCCAAGAATATTATTGACTATTCATTGAAATTAATGGCAATGAACACTGCCAATGCCCTGTAGCAAGTAACTATAAATGCTTACTGTTATTGTTTCGTATTGCAGGCTGAGGAGTACTTGATACGCTGTGGGGTGAAGGAGAACAGAGCTGGAGCTTAAGTTGATGCGCTCTATAAAACACAAAGTATTGAAACAGCACTTAGGTTGTAATGATGACTATGAAACTGTGAGAAACAGACTGCTAGTAGAATTTTCACTTCATGATGAATGTAAAAATGAGGGTTATATAGTCCTTTTAAGTATGATGGACGAGATGGTTGATGAAGATAATTTTTCTGTTTTTAACTACATTCAACACAATAAGAAGTATGTTGGAGCCACAAGATTACACATGGGTATGCAAAACAAACCGCTGATGTACTTCAGTGACTCTGAGGAAAAGAGTGTCCAGCTGAAATGTCAGCAAAACGAAGCAAACCAGGAAATGTAGGTTGAGCTAATGCGTCATCGGAGCAAAGTGCCTCAGCAAATGCGCAAACGGAGAAAAGTGTGTCAAGAGATTTCAAGGACTTGAAAAATAGAGGTGATAATTTAGAATCAGTAGATCGATTACGTCGATGCTAATTAATTCTGTCCAGTATTAGCCACCGATCCAAAAAATAGTATGTTACTGTAAAGAAATGTGATGTGACTTGCTGGAATCTTATGCCAGGACTTAAATAAAATGATGGTCATTAAAGTAATGGAGAATTTTAACCTTCTTTGTTTCAATGTTAGCTTTTTCTAATGTAACTAGTTTCTAATATTTAAACTTTTTTATACTGATATTTTAAATTTTGATTGTATCTCTGTCAAAATCCCTAATATAGTGACAACTTTGAATACTTGAGCTTTGGCTGTAATACGACCAGCTCTTGTTTTAATTCTGTTCAATAATACAAAAGAAACTATTTCAAAAGTTTGCTTTATTTTTTTTCTTCAGAAAAATCAATTGCACTGCCCTCTAAAGGTCCCTTCATATATAGTTTTCTTTTTTATTTATTTACATGTTGAATAGTTTAGTGTCATATTAAATAAATATGTAAGGAAATGAACACTTTCATAGTCCTTTCTTTCAAGACATTTTGTTAGACGAAAATATATTTGTTTAAAATTTGGGGGATTCATATAACAAGAATTTATAATGTTAGTCCTATTACTAGTACATGTACTTCACCTCTTATTTTATGTACCAAAATGGTAATGGTGTGGAGTTTCCCTATATTAGAATGAGTTGTTGTGTTCAATAAATGAAGCTGTCAGATTATCTGGCTTTTATTATTACTCAGTTTGAAATATTTAAGAATTATTCACGCCATTTTTACCGTATAAACTGGATAAAGTTAACTTGCAACCTGATGGACAGAATATTGACTTTTATGAATGAAACTTTTGAATAAAAGAAAAAGCAATGAAGTTGTTTTTTCAGTATTGTATGGGACATTTATCATGTTTATTAGTTATGAGTACAATTTAACAGAATTTATGTGTGAGTTGATTCTGCTTAATTGTATTATTATTTCAGTCTTTGCTGTGTAATTTTTTTATTCTAATATGCAGTCATTTGATGCCAAAACAACAATATGATGCTAATGAATGTTTTTCCTTGAATGAGTCCGAATAAGTACAGGGTTCAACTTCGTTGTCCGTCTGTCTGTCCGTCCGTTTGTCTGTCCGTCACACTTTTGTGTCCGCTCCACAACTCTACTATAAGAGGTATCCACTTAAAACTTGATAGGAAGCTTTATTACCCTTCCAGATTTTTTCCGCCTTTTTGATTGGATGTTGATCACCCGAAAGAAATTGATATTACCGAGCCAGACGGGTAATATACACATTAAATTTCCCCGATGGGTACCCCACGTTGTAAACAACATGCGCCGTGCGATGCGCGTACGGTTTGATTTTACGCGATATAAATTCCAATTTACAAGCAATTTTAAACTGTCAAGTGATAAATATTTACCAAAATAGAGTAATGATACATATTCTCGTCAGTATAGGAAACAAATATGACCTTGTGAAAGCTTGATATTAATTCCAAAAAAGTGCGTTCAACAGACTACTCCTTTTCTCTTGTTTACATCCGTTATGTTCGAAAGATAATACGTCATGTATTTGTGACGTCATGTTATGGTGAAGGGGTATCCTAAAGGGAATCTTATTTCGACGTTTCATTTGAAGTAGCAATTATTTATTTTAAAATCGTCTTAACTCGGCACGGGAAGGGTAATAAAATTATTATTTTGGTTTTGGAGTGATATATGTGGATATATTACCTGCCAAGATTTTATATCACCCTCGCCTAACGGCTCGGGTGATATAAAATCTTAACAGGTAATATATCCACATATATCACTCCAAAACCAAAATAACATATAATATCACATGAAAAAGTGCAGTTCAAAAGAACCATAACTCTTCCTTTCATAGTTTATGAGTTATTGCCCTTTGTAAATTTATATACTAAATTCTTGTCCGGGCTATATCAAAAAGTATAATAGATATCAATTTGAAACTTTGTAGGTAGATTAATTACATATATGTGAAGTGTATTACACAAGAACCATAACTCTTTTTTCATAGATTAAGAGTTATTACCCTTTGTAAATTTCAATAGTTAATACATGTCCGGGCCATATCTCAGATAGGTCAATACATCTCATTTGCACATACGCAGAAAAAGATGAGCATTTTTGCAACATGCAGCGCTGTTGAAAATAAATAAAGCGTTACAATTTGGCCTTCATGTTAAAAGAAACATTCCATTCTGTAATATATGAGGCGAGACATAGCTACTTCCGTTTCCGAAATGACCCGTCAAGTTTAAAGTTTGAATTGAGATCACAATGTAAAAACATTCATTAAATAATATAAAACTTATTAATATCTCATATTCTAGCTGTATATGTTATACAGGTAATATTCAATCATAGCATTTGTATCAATGGATTATCTTTTGATATAATATCTGTATTTTAAGCAAGATTTTTTCCCAATTCATATAGTGTTACCCATAAAATTTAAACTCTGCTTGGAGATACCTAATTTTTCAATATGCTAATAAGTTTGTTAAGTTAAACGTGTATTTCTTTGCCTACGTTTGGATATTTTGTATCTCTGTTGTATTATAACATGCATGTTTCTGAGACTTACAGAAAGAAGAAAAAGAGATTGTGTCACTACGAAACATATAGTGAGTCAGAAGCTTTGCTGCTGTTGTTGATGATGCTGGAGATTGCTAAGTCCAGCTTATTAATTTGTAGTTTATAATTGACGTGTTTCTTCCCTTGAATTTGATTCTGATGTGTTCTCTCCTTTAATTTTGTTCTCTGTTTGAATAAAATAAATAAGACACATGATTTTTACAAATTTGTTGATTTTTGCTCAAATATCTATCTACCATTACTGTTAAATCCCTCTCAGGGACAAGTACAGTCGTCCTGTTTTACCCAGATAGAGAGAGAAGGGGAGTTCTAATGAATTGTGCATGCACATAGCACTCTGAACCCACAATTCATTCATTGATACGAACTTTTACGCTATTTCTAATGCTCGTAGGTCCCCGTCGAGGATCGAACTTGGGAACTATCGCATCTCATGCGAGCGTCCTACCAGTGGACCAACTCGTCTCAATTTGAGGGATAGCCTATTGTTCTAGGAAAAATGTTAGTATTTTGCATTTTTACCAAAAAGCCCTCTTTTCGCCGAGGTACATGAATTCATACATGAGAATACATACTGGAGAGATACCAATTAATTTTAGTACTGTTCAGCCATGTCGCTTGTGTAACAACAACTAAATAAATGTTCTATAATTATTGCCAACTTCGCAGCTTGTTTATGAGTTACATATAATGCCTCGATAACCATATACATAATAAATTTAATGAATTTACTTGTTCAATCTAAAATTGTCACAGATGCGAATAATAAACCCCGCACAACAAACTGTAATCATGCAGGAATAAAGCCTTTATACATAAAATGTCTAAGTTCAAGGGCACATAACTCTGCAATGCCTGAATTGCCAGACCATAATTTTGTGGCATGCTCATATTCACTTCATGATTATGATATAATTCAAGATTGAAGCCAGTCACTTAAGAAATGTGAAAGCAGTTTGCTCCACAATCTTTTATGTTCAAAAATACATATGTGCATGTCTATATTCAAGGGCATCTGCAATGCCTGGATTGCCCTAACTGACTTTTGTAAAATATTTATCTTCACTTCATGATGATGATGGATTGTAAGTTTGAAACCAATCCCTAAAGAATTGTGAAAGAAGCTGGCGCCACAAGAATATAGGTATTTATGCATACAGACCAACCGACCACCCCAACAACCGACTCAATAATTCCTCTTCTCAAACTTCTTTTGCGGGAGTATTATAATGATTAAATAATGAACATGTATAACAAATTTATCGATAATTCTTTATTCTTAATTTTACTGTGACATAATGATTTTATTTACATGTATTCCAAATCTTTTCACTTGCATATATTTCCATGATCAAATTTGAAAACAGTTCAAATGCTCTATCAAGATTAGTTGGCATCTGCCATCTGTATTGTTCAATGACAGAAAGGGCCCAGTCGGAAAACATTTTTGACAGCAATACTGATTACGTTCATAACAGTTTTTATTTGCAAGCAATGATCAACCTCCACTTCATCAGCAACTTTGCTCTGCTCGGTACAGCAATACAATTCAGCAGTAGTGTACATCATGTTTGGTATTTCAGAAAGAGATCTTACATTCTTCATCTTTCGCACACGATGCTTATTCCAATGGTGTGCATGATATTGAAGTTCATTACGAATTGCAGGAATGAAACAGAACTTCAAGCAATATATATGAAGAACGTTGTCTGTTTGCAAAACACCACTCAAATTAATCCATGCACGCCTGTAACAGGGATTATCTCAAATATTGCCAAAACCATTCGATCCTTTGGTTGTGATTCGATGAACTATCCATTACAGCACATCTTGAAAACATATCATTGTGGTGAGAACGAAGAAGCGTTTTGACATCAGCAATATTTACATATTCTGTAGCCGGTCCATATGAACGGAACCTTCTTGAGCTCACGAATTGACTGTAAAAAGTAGGTGCAAGTCAGACATGGATTTTTGTTTGTTTCGTCTACTTTGAGCCAAATCAACCTTCCGCTCCAACCATCTTTTGCCCCATGAATACAAATCCCTAAAGGCTTTAATTTGTCGTGTCCATCTATATGCCACATATTGATTGAACCTTTAACTCTCTGTAATTGTTGCAGCTCTTTGTGGATCGTTAACTACAGATAGTGTATTACGTCCCTTACACCGGGGGGGGGGGGGGTTAGTATAAATAATTTAATACCGAATCTTAGAATGTATAGTCTGACTATTAGTAGTACATGTATCTGTAAATGGAATGAGAGACACGAGTTTAATTTGTATGTGCCAGTTTATCAAAGAATAAATTCGTCAATTTGCAATCCATTCCAGCCCCAGAGAGTAAGAATTAAGCGCATATAGCAATAACATTTCGCATTTGTCATTTCGCAATAATCATTAGCAAATTGCATTTCGCATTTCGTAAATTGCAATTGACATGGCAGAATGGCGTTCCATAAATCTGCCTATTTCTGAGAACTATATAACTGCAACATTTGTACATGCGTTACATTTGGGTTCAGAAAATTAAACAGTAAACATTGTTAATTATATTTGGAGACATATATCTTTCTAACCTATAATACTGTATTAAATATATATTCAATATATATAACTGTAATATCCAATGATTATATTTCACAAATTTGAAATAATACGAAGTGGAATTTTACTTAAATTAGCACAAATAAAAATAAACGCTTAAAAGGCCGGACTTTGACCTTTTCAAACATAATAATTTTACTTTCACGTGGGAGTTATAAATGAATTTTTATAAATATCTGATAGATTTAGTCATTTTATATTTGTTTAAAGACGTTTTCCGGAGTTTTCATATAGACATATAGGCAAAATTAAAACTGTTCAATAGAATTTCTTTAAACTTGGCCTGTTGTTAAAATATGATAACAGAAACATTTTAAGCGAAAAAAAAATTTGGGTCACCGTTCTCGTTTTAACAACATGCCAAGTTTAAAGAAATTCTATTGAACAGTTTTAATTTTGCCTATACATGTATGTCTATATGAAAACTCCCGAAAACGCCCTTAACTATATAAATTACGTGAAATTACTGATAATGTCTTCATTTTATAAATAAAAGGGGGTCAGTATACGTTTCCGTACAAAAAGGATGGTTTATGTATAGAAAAACATCTTTTATTTGCATTCGAACACTGATATTTAATTGAAAAAAAAGAACACTTTAGAATCGAAAAAATATTTAGATCGATCCTAACCA